ACTGAATAATTTAAATGTGTCTGATGTAATTTTATTTATTTGGAGGTAGTAGTAAGGAAGCTTTTATCCAAAGGACTACATTTTTGTACTGGAGTATTATTAAAAACTTTGTATTTCTCAATAGAAACTTCTTGAAATTTTGATTTTAAACAATGAAAGAATAAATAAGTAAATATATAATTAAATAATCAGTGTGCTTGGTTTGTTCACCATAATTTCTGTGAAAAGTAAAATGTTAGTCTTGCATTAGTGTCAGAAAAGATGGTCCTACCGAGATACATAAAGCACATTTTGTTTCCTCCTGCCTGTCCAAGATTTGGGAATGGATAATGTTTTTAAAGAAATCTGACAGAAGGGTCTCAAATTCCCAAGTTTTACTTGTATCTGGATAAGGAAACATCATTTTGCTTAAAAGAAGGCATTTATCATTTGAAATTTGTTGCTACTCTGGCGTACAACAAAGGACACTTCCAAATTGCCCTGCAAGCCAAAGGTATGGAGCCCAGGCCGAGATCAACCTGTCTGCTGGGCTCTGCGAGTGGTACAAGCTGGAGATCTGGGGCTGCTTTGGCTTTGGCCACTCTCACAGGCTTGGGTTTGGGCTCCCAAATTCTCATGTCCTCAGGGCTTTACCAAGCAAATTATCTGGGGCAGACTGGCTTGGCTGACTGGGAATGGGGCAGATTTTCCTTGGCATTCCTGCCAACATGAGACTTCCAACTACCCCCTGAACTTGAATCAATGAATTCCAGAAATAACACCCCATCAAGTCCAAAGTTTAGTTGGAGTAAGTCCAAAAAGCTTAGTCATAATTGCTGCAGCCCTTCCTACTCCCATGGGCCCAGCTGTCTCCCTTGATGTAAGATACCTACATTCATATTCTCATTTGACAGTCATAACAAAGCAATTCAGTAATCCTGGAGACTTGAACTGGTTTTGAAGGAAACAGCTGTTCTTGTTTGTATTCATCACAGACATGCATATGCATATGAGATGCAAGTAAAATAACTCTGCGGGATTTCTCCTGTTCCAGGAGAAGCCTCAGTAAGCGTTTAACACAGCAAGGTGTCCTGTGCTCATGCTCTTTCATGAGGTATTAAAAGAGACTAACTGTCCTGTGGGGACACACAGCCAGCTGTAGCAAATTCTATTGAAAAAAAAATATAATAATAATAATAATAATAATAATAATAATAATAATAATAATAATGGCCATTGGTTTTTTTTTTTTTTTTTTTTTT